ACAAAATGATCAAGCACAACTTGGAAATGGACTATTTGTGGTATTCACTAGTCTATCACCCTTAAACCATGTGAATTAAACTGGAATCAAGAAACAGTTCAAAACATGTCTGCAGTGAACAAACTTTTCAACATAGTATATTTACCCTATAGGATGGGGGCTCAGACAGAGCTAGGACAAGAGGAGTAGATAAGTAAAAGAATTGGAGAAGTTTTCAAGTGAAGCCAGAGGACATAGTATGACCACACCATATTCAGGAAACTGTTAAATTCCAAAGTGATAGACAGAGTAGAAGTAGAAAGACAAGAATATATCCCCTTAACAGTAATAGGGGCTCACTTTCCATTGAAACCATTGACCCCTTTGTGAGGTAGAATGACAGAAGAAAAGAACATAAAGAAAAGAGAAAAAATGATAAAAGAAGAAATCTGAGTTCAGGCAGGAGCAGAAACAGAAAGGGAGATGAGGGATAATATGGTGGAGCAAGAGACTGAGTTGGAGAAAGAGGACAGAAAAGAGAAAGAATTTGCAGAGTGGAATGAGGAAAAGAAAGAAAAAAAAGGATTTGAAGGGCCTCTTTCAGACTATATCTCTGCTGTCATAATATGCAACATGCCTAGCCATGTGTAGGACTATGACCTCTGTTCTAAGCTAGCTGATGGCAGAACCGTGATGGAGACTGACCTCAGGCTGCAAGACCCAAATTGATTTCCCTGAACTTCTTAATGGTTGAACTCCACACTGTTTTACTACAGATTTCCCATGCTCTTTCTTTAAAGATGTTCAAAGTTGGAAACTCAGAAAAATACCCTTTATGACCACCTTTGCCTCTGCAAAGTGGGTCCAAATACTGGTACCTTCAGGAGGTCTGAGAGTGTGTGGGGGGTTGGGGGAGTTGTGGGAGTTCAAGGGCGCCTGCACAGCTACCTTCCTGGTGCTGGAGTGATGGTGGTGTCCAGCAGGAGAGGGCATGGCTATCCTTCCTTGGGTTGGGGCCCAAGCAGGCCCCCTGGTGCTGGAGTGATGGCGGTGCCTGGCAGGAGAGGGAGTGGTGCTGTTAATACTTTCAATAGATTTTTTAATCTCCTGGATATGTATTTGAATCTATTTCATGAATTTCTTTTCTTTCCTATGTTGGACATTCGTGGTTTCCATCTTTCCTATGCTGGGGATTCATGGCTTCTATCAAGGCCTTGAGTTTATCTATTTTTTTTTTTTTGTAATTTCTGTTCTACAGTCTCTAATCATGTCTTTCACTGTGCTCACCATCTCTGTAGTTATCTGTGAAATTATTTCTGCTTTGAATTTTTTAGAGCCTAAATGATCTGTTTTGTTACTCCTGTGCTATGAGTTCTGGGTGTTCTGGTGGTTGATGGTCAACTTTTCCATCTCATTTCCCCTAGAATTTGCCATTGGTGAATTGAAAGTTTGTATTTGTGCCTTGCTTAAGTGTTTTCTCATTTTTATTTTTGTTGTTGAGCTATCCTTTGTTTAATTCCTGAGTCACTACCTTGATCTTCCTGATATAGCTGCTCTTTAGGTTTTGAGTCTCTAAAGACTCAGAGACACTTTTATTTTCATAATATCAGAAAGGACAGCTCATTAAATCAATCACAACCCTTTAGCCCAATTGATACATTCATCAACACAATAGCATCAAGCACAGTTTAGAAATTGACCACTTGAGGTAATTGTTAATCTAACACCTTTAACCATGTGAATTAAATTAAAATCTAGGACCAGTCCAAAATATGTTTATAGGGAATAAATTCTTCAATATAACAACTTTACTCTTCAGGATGGGGACCTAGAAGGAGTTGGGAGGAGAGGAACAGAAAGGTAAAAGAATAGTAGAAGGTTTCAAGTGAAGACAAAGGAGACAGGATGATCATACAAACTCAAGGCAACTGATGAAGACAAGAGGGAAAGACAGAGTGCAAGAACCAAGACAAGAATAGAACAACTTGACAGTAATTGGGAAGCTATAAATTGTATTCTCTTTCCTTTGAAACTAACATCCAGAGAATGAAAAAGAGAGAAGAAAGAAAAAGAAAGAAGAAATATGAATTAGGGCAGGAACAGAAAGGGAAATGAAGAATAACATGGGGGAGCAAGATACTAAGTGGGAAAAAGAAGAAAGCAAAAAAGAATTTGCAGAATGGGAAAAAATAAAATTTTAAAAATAAAAATTAAAAATAAGAGGAAATGAAAAAAAAATTGGAAGAGCCTCTTTCAGGGTATATCTCTGCTGTCACAATAGACAATGTGACAGAACTAAGGCAATTAGTCTCAGCTTGCCAATGGCAGAACCCTGAGATTCAGGCTGAATTTTGGCTTCAAGGCCCAAATTGAGCTCCCTGACCTCCTGCAGGGTTGAACTCTGTAAGGTTCCACTGCAGGTTCCTGCTGCCCTTCCCCTGAAGATAGTCCAAATTCTGATGGAAGGTGGTGATCCTTCTAACTTACCAACTACGGAGGTCTGATGTGCCTTTATTGGTGTTGTCACTGCTGTTTTGTCTTCTAGATCTCAGTAAAATGGGTTTTATGACTGCCTGTGTCTCTGCTGTGTGGATAAGAGGTACTGCAACAACCAGGAGGCCTGAAAGCCATGCGGAGGGTGTAAGGAATGCTGCAGAGGTGCCTGCATGGCTGGGCAGTCCTCACTGCTCTGCTCTAATGAAGGCGTGGGTGCTGGAGGTGGAAGAGGTGGAGGAGCAGCGAGCTCCCTGTGTGGCTGGGCAGTTCTCCTGCACCAGCCTTTCTGTATAAATATTGTTATTTAGTTTATTTTTCATCTTTTCTGTATTTATTTTGTAAAAATAGGCAAATGTATATGTATGTCATATAGAAATTTCCTCTTTTACCATAAATCCATCATGTTGTACACATCCTAGTACTTTCTTCTTTATTTCAGATATATTACTCTATATCAGTTCACAGGTATGGTCCCCATTATTAGTACTTTTTTATGTGGATACACCATAACTTATCCATCAAATTTCTCATGTTTTTCTTATATACATAATGCCATAATTATTAATACCTTGTTCCTATTTGTGTTGCAGATGCAGAGATATATGATCAACTCTAGGAGTAGAATTGCTGGGTCAAATTATAAATGTATAAGTAGCTTCTTCTGAATTTTGTGGGGGCCCTGCTTCGGAAGTACATGTAAAGACTATAGCTCTATAGCTGCTGTTAGAGACACAGTTATATATTCTGGGCTTCTCAGCGTACCTGAGTGCACTTATTGCTGAGGAACAGTTTTCACCTCAAGTACTCATGTTTCTCTTGTTATATTGGGGATAAGTTGAAGCCTTCTAGGTTCACCTGGGAGGCCCATTTCCTTGTAAAAGAACAGAATTTGGAAAAGAATGGTTTGAAGAATAGATCAGAATTCTATGCTCTGAATGTAAGTGGAGAGTCTAATTTTGAAAACTCATAAAGAACTATTGTGGGCAAATTGCAGAGTGCATCACATGCCATATGCAAGACACAAACTCAAATGCTAGTATCTGGTGCTATGTCAAACGTGTTCAAAGCAATAGTGTAACTAAACTGTTTTGAATTGCATGCATTGTTATCTCACCAAAACTGACTTCAGTAATTGATCCTCCTATAATTGAAGCACAATCATATATATTCTTATGCTTCCCTTCTTGCATTCAGAACCTGTTCAGTCCAACCAGTATTTACTGAAGAGCTTGCATTTGGACTGTGCTACAATAGTAGATTACACAATACTTGACTGCAGCACTTATTACTCTGTACCATAGATTGTTATTCATTTTTTCATTTAAAATTTCTTATCTGATTTGAAAATAATACATTTTTATATGGAATTTGTAAAACAAGCAGAAATTCATGGTAAAAATATAGATTATTTTATTGTACCAACTCATATGTAACCACCATTTAAGTTTTAGTATTATTTATATTTGTGTTTAATTGCTCATTAAAGTAATTCTCTAATGGAAGGGGAAAACTCTTTAATTTCCCTTTTTCAAATAAACCTGCTTATTAGAGAGCAAAAAATGTAAATGACATTTAACCATGCAGGACAATTTAGTGGATTTCTTCCAAAGCTTTTCATACTATGGAGATTTTTGAACTATTTTGTTGCTAACCATTTGCTCATATTATTTTAGTGACTATAATGTTTTACCAGCAAAGATATAAGTAATGAATTGGTAAATAGCATTTTGAACTGTAAATCTTAAAATCTAGATGAATAAAATGTCAGAAATAAACCTTCTAGACCATCTATGTCTTTTGTTGTGTACAGTAAATTTTGTTAAACATCCCCTGTATTTGGGATTGATATTATGAAAGATGTCCAGCTGAAAGCAAGAAAACAATGTAAAGAGAAGGAATGCAAAGCCAGGGTATAAGAGAAGAAAGATTTCCTGAAAAAGAAATAGTGGAGGGAATTATTCATAGAGAAAGTATTTCTAGAACCCTTCCTGTGATAGGGTAAACAATGATTCAAAGTTGTTTTACACTGGCATTTCCTTGAACTTCTTCATATAGTGAAAAGAAGAAACCTTTAACTGTGCTGAACTGTACCCTAAAGAGGAGAATTTGATGATAAAATTTGGGTGCACATTTCTTAAATTTGTGTCAAGAAAGAGGAATCATGTAGCATTCAACATATTACAGCTCTGCTAAATATATATCACATATCTACAGGGTGAGACTGAATGGGACTAAAACTGAATGTCAAATTGTGGGTTGTAGGGGAAGAAAATTAAATCCTTACCATTGCTTATTTCTTACAAGCTTGGTATTCCTCTTTCACTTCCTCTATCCAGGCATAACCTAACTTCCTGGAAGCAGCCTAGGCAAGTCCCGGGCTTCTTGAAAAGGGAACTGCAATATTAATCCCTCTAGTGTTAGTTTATATCTGTATCACAGCTGACTTTAGGTAGGAGAGAGCCAGCAATGTAGAAACTGCAACTCCCCAAACCCCAGTTAGTGCCTTTACTGGTCACAGTGAAAAGGAGATGGCTGGCAGTGGAGCTCCTCTAAGGACCAAAATGGTATGATCATACTGTCTTCTCTCTTTTTCTTTATTTAAAAATTTTATTTAAATAAGTGTACTTTCACATGTAGTTCTAAGAAATGATACAGAGGGATTCCACACACTCATAACTCAGGTTTCCCAATGGTAAAATCTTCAAAATACTATCTGACCTGTTTTTAACAGTTTAACTTTTTATGTTTTATGCTCAAGTATGTAACACATTTTGAGTTAATTTTTGTATGAGGTGTGAGGTTTGGCTTTTTTCTTCTAATGATGTCCAATTACCTAAGAACCACTGCAGAAATGCAACCCTTTCTTCACTGAGTTGATTTGGCTTTAAAAAAAAAAATCCTTTTAAAAATCAGTTTACATTTGGGTTTATTTCTAAGTTCTCTGTTTGATTTCATTGATTTATATGTCTATTCCTCTAGTGATTTTACATTAATGATTATTGTAATTATCTAGTAATTCTAGGTAAAGGGATGATTTTACTTTTTTTTTGGTTAAGATTATTTCAGCTTCTCTAGGTCCTATGCCTTTCTATACAAATATCAGAATAAACATTTCTATGTCTAAAAGGAATTGCATTAAGCCTCTAAGTGAATTTAGGACAATTAATATATTTAAAATTTGAAAATCTTCCAATCCATGAACACAATATGTCCATTTGATTTCTTTGATATCTCTGTTTAAAATTTTCTAATTTTCAGCATAATAATCTTGTATATGTTTTTTTAAATATACACAAAAATTTATTGTATTTGAAGTGATTATAAATAATATTATACTTTTAAGTTTGGTTGCCTTATCTTTATTGTTTATATATAGACATGTGACTGGTTTTGAGAAGTTTGTTTGTATATTGCAAACATGCTGAATGTACTTATGGGTTATAAAAGGTTGCTTTAGTAGTTTTCCTGGGGTTATCTATGTAAATTATCATGTCATCTGCAAATACCAAGAATTTTATTTTGTGTATTTGTGTCTTTTTTTCTTTTTCTTGCCTTATTGCAGTGGCTAAAACATCCAGTTTCATATTACATAGCAGTAGTAAGAGAGAACTCCTTGAATGTCTTCAATCTTAGATGGAGAGCACTTTGCCTTTTCTAGTGTTAATATTTTGTAGATTATTTTATCAAGTAGATGCAATCCCTCTTTATTACTAACTTGTTAAGAGCTTTTATTGAGTGGATATTTGATTTTGTCAAATGCTTATTCTGTGTTTATCAACATAATAACATGATTTTCTTTAATTTATTGATACATTAGAATACACTGATTGATTTTCAAATGAGAACTGACACTGAAGACATAGCGAAAGTAATAGACTCTGCTCAAATTTGAAAACACAAACTTTGAAGTGCTGTATAATATTTTCCTGAGATACAGATATGTGCTCTGTGGTAGATGCTACCAAGTGACACAACAACAACAAAAATATATAAATACATGGTGAAATTAGCTTGAGAAACAGTGGGTTAAACTAAGTTTTCTAAGTTTCTTTGTTGCTAGACTCATGTTGAATGATTTTTTTAAAGCTCCAAAAGGAGAATAAATTGTGTGGAGTTTTCAACTTCCTTTATTTATAAAAATATACATCTTTCAAATGCCTGGTAATTGGAGGATGACTTTGGGAAACAACGCCTTAGGAATAATTTAATAATAAGCAGGCCCTGTATGAGAAATATAGGAGAAGAAAAGAAGTATGATTATGGTGGAGCTTACCCTGGGCACTTTGGGAGTGTTCCTAGTTTCCACAATACTCGTTTCATTTCCTCTTGAATTGGACGGAAATGATTTTAGTGGCTGGACAGTGGGGTGTTGAGGTTAAAACTATGGGCTCTGTAGTCAAGCATTTGGGTTCAGATCTTGACTTTACTCCCTAGAAGTTATTGAGAACATTGAGTAAATTAAAAGAAAACAGTAAAAATTTCTGCTCTAAGATTAAAAAGAAAGGATTATGTGAGTGAGATATAAAGTATCAGAGTAGTGTTGGACACAGTAATCATCCAATAGCCATCAACTTGGATGCTGATAGTTGGAGTATCAAGTGCAATAGTCAGCAAAGAATCTATCAATATTTTTATTCCAAAAGTGGACATTAGGAAAATGGACCTCAAGGCCATTGTACAATGAGTTAGGAGAAGGTGATTCTCTGGTCCCACAGTGGTTGCTTTGAGGACCAGAGTGGTGAGTATAAATGCGAAGGAAGAGGTTTCTCTTAAAAATATTTTTATGGACACTCTTTAGGGTTTGATGGTTGGATTTGAGGACTTAAAAATCAAATATGATATAAAATTTGAGCCTTGGACTGATAGGAAATTCAGTTTTGTATGAAGTATATCCTGGGCATCTATGTGCAAGCCAGAGAACTTTAGCATTCTAGTTAAAAATCATAGGTCTTTCAATTTTTTTGGACTTAATAAGAACAAAGCAAATGATGAATTTTAATGTGTTTATGCAAAAGCCTGAATCTGGGTCAATGTTGCTAAAGGGATCGTCTGATTACATAGTTGTACTATAGGGAAAATTATTTGTGATGCAACTTTGAACTTTAAGTACATCTCAACTTTTTATTTAGAACACTAAAGTCATGGAATAGTTCTTCAGAGAGGAAATTAAGAAAAAGAAATGCATACTGGTGCAGATAATGAAGAAGAGAAACAATACAAAAAGGAAGAACTGCAAAGGTCCCTAGCTGAGTTCAATCCCTGGTACAAAAAAAAAAAAAAAA